TACCCGAGTCGAAAAATTGGGACTCATTTTATCCTCAAATGAACTATTTAGACTCATTTTTTCCTCATTTAGACGTTTTTAATCTCAGATACCTCAATAAGTTTTCATAAGACTCATCACATTGGATTCTAAAAAGTCTCATTTTATTCTCAATGTCTGCAATCCTATGGCAATAGTCCTCAATTTAACCTCAACAAGAAAAGAATGAGACTTTTTGAAGACAAAATGAGGTTTCCTAAATAATCTTTACTCCTCAAAAGTCTCATTTTGTCCTGATACGGGAAAACCGCGGATAAAATGAGACTTTTGAGTCTTGTAGTTTGAAATATCCCTAAAAATTCTATTGAGATCAACTGAGGACAAAATGAGTCCCAATTTTTTGACTCGGGATGCTAAGCTGATTTAACGCGACATGATTGATAAAGGCACTCCACAGATTCTGATATGAAATAGGTATTACTATATTTGATAAAAAAAAACATTTTGTGCAGTTTCGAGACAAATGTACAAGTCTTCGCTGATAACCTTTTGAATGAAATACCTTTTGCTAAATTTCGTTCGTTCCTACCGCCCATGGGGCACTTCCATCTCGAAGAACTTGTTCAAACAGCATGATATTGTAATCGGTTACATAGACAGCACGTATGGTTATTATCTGCACGGTATATACCTCTACATAGAGAGACGCACCTAAGTATAAATTTATATAAATTCTATGTACAACGTGTCGTTCCAGCAACATCGACGTGCGAATCCGACAGGCGGAGTTGGAATTCCAGCTGGGTCGCGAAGAGCTTAATTTATTAACTCTGCTAGAGGAGGCGAGGGCGCTTCAGGCCTGTCTCGACGAGGCCGAAAGAAGATTCAGCGCCCCAGACGCTCACACGCTATACAGGTAACACTGACCACTTTATGATCGATATACCATCTGGGACGTATGTCTAAATATCTTTAGGTGGTATAATTTTCTGCCCATCACAACGTGTTACGACTAGTGAAATTTATTAATCGTAACACACCCTGAACAAAGTTTTAGTTTTTCCAGTGAAATAATGTGTTTAATAAAACTGTAAAAACTGCCCTTTTGCCAAAAAGTCTTGACTTACATGTAGTCTAGTAGCTAGGTGGTATAATTTTCTGCCCATCACAACGTGTTACGACTAGTGAAATTTATTAATCGTAACACACCCTGAACAAAGTTTTAGTTTTTCCAGTGAAATAATGTGTTTAATAAAACTGTAAAAACTGCCCTTTTGCCAAAAAGTCTTGACTTACATGTAGTCTAGTAGCTAGGTGGTATAATTTTCTGCCCATCACAACGTGTTACGACTAGTGAAATTTATTAATCGTAACACACCCTGAACAAAGTTTTAGTTTTTCCAGTGAAATAATGTGTTTAATAAAACTGTAAAAACTGCCCTTTTGCCAAAAAGTCTTGACTTACATGTAGTCTAGTAGCTAGGTGGTATAATTTTCTGCCCATCACAACGTGTTACGACTAGTGAAATTTATTAATCGTAACACACCCTGAACAAAGTTTTAGTTTTTCCAGTGAAATAATGTGTTTAATAAAACTGTAAAAACTGCCCTTTTGCCAAAAAGTCTTGACTTACATGTAGTCTAGTAGCTAGGTGGTATAATTTTCTGCCCATCACAACGTGTTACGACTAGTGAAATTTATTAATCGTAACACACCCTGAACAAAGTTTTAGTTTTTCCAGTGAAATAATGTGTTTAATAAAACTGTAAAAACTGCCCTTTTGCCAAAAAGTCTTGACTTACATGTAGTCTAGTAGCTAGGTGGTATAATTTTCTGCCCATCACAACGTGTTACGACTAGTGAAATTTATTAATCGTAACACACCCTGAACAAAGTTTTAGTTTTTCCAGTGAAATAATGTGTTTAATAAAACTGTAAAAACTGCCCTTTTGCCAAAAAGTCTTGACTTACATGTAGTCTAGTAGCTAGGTGGTATAATTTTCTGCCCATCACAACGTGTTACGACTAGTGAAATTTATTAATCGTAACACACCCTGAACAAAGTTTTAGTTTTTCCAGTGAAATAATGTGTTTAATAAAACTGTAAAAACTGCCCTTTTGCCAAAAAGTCTTGACTTACATGTAGTCTAGTAGCTAGGTGGTATAATTTTCTGCCCATCACAACGTGTTACGACTAGTGAAATTTATTAATCGTAACACACCCTGAACAAAGTTTTAGTTTTTCCAGTGAAATAATGTGTTTAATAAAACTGTAAAAACTGCCCTTTTGCCAAAAAGTCTTGACTTACATGTAGTCTAGTAGCTAGGTGGTATAATTTTCTGCCCATCACAACGTGTTACGACTAGTGAAATTTATTAATCGTAACACACCCTGAACAAAGTTTTAGTTTTTCCAGTGAAATAATGTGTTTAATAAAACTGTAAAAACTGCCCTTTTGCCAAAAAGTCTTGACTTACATGTAGTCTAGTAGCTAGGTGGTATAATTTTCTGCCCATCACAACGTGTTACGACTAGTGAAATTTATTAATCGTAACACACCCTGAACAAAGTTTTAGTTTTTCCAGTGAAATAATGTGTTTAATAAAACTGTAAAAACTGCCCTTTTGCCAAAAAGTCTTGACTTACATGTAGTCTAGTAGCTAGGTGGTATAATTTTCTGCCCATCACAACGTGTTACGACTAGTGAAATTTATTAATCGTAACACACCCTGAACAAAGTTTTAGTTTTTCCAGTGAAATAATGTGTTTAATAAAACTGTAAAAACTGCCCTTTTGCCAAAAAGTCTTGACTTACATGTAGTCTAGTAGCTAGGTGGTATAATTTTCTGCCCATCACAACGTGTTACGACTAGTGAAATTTATTAATCGTAACACACCCTGAACAAAGTTTTAGTTTTTCCAGTGAAATAATGTGTTTAATAAAACTGTAAAAACTGCCCTTTTGCCAAAAAGTCTTGACTTACATGTAGTCTAGTAGCTAGGTGGTATAATTTTCTGCCCATCACAACGTGTTACGACTAGTGAAATTTATTAATCGTAACACACCCTGAACAAAGTTTTAGTTTTTCCAGTGAAATAATGTGTTTAATAAAACTGTAAAAACTGCCCTTTTGCCAAAAAGTCTTGACTTACATGTAGTCTAGTAGCTAGGTGGTATAATTTTCTGCCCATCACAACGTGTTACGACTAGTGAAATTTATTAATCGTAACACACCCTGAACAAAGTTTTAGTTTTTCCAGTGAAATAATGTGTTTAATAAAACTGTAAAAACTGCCCTTTTGCCAAAAAGTCTTGACTTACATGTAGTCTAGTAGCTAGGTGGTATAATTTTCTGCCCATCACAACGTGTTACGACTAGTGAAATTTATTAATCGTAACACACCCTGAACAAAGTTTTAGTTTTTCCAGTGAAATAATGTGTTTAATAAAACTGTAAAAACTGCCCTTTTGCCAAAAAGTCTTGACTTACATGTAGTCTAGTAGCTAGGTGGTATAATTTTCTGCCCATCACAACGTGTTACGACTAGTGAAATTTATTAATCGTAACACACCCTGAACAAAGTTTTAGTTTTTCCAGTGAAATAATGTGTTTAATAAAACTGTAAAAACTGCCCTTTTGCCAAAAAGTCTTGACTTACATGTAGTCTAGTAGCTAGGTGGTATAATTTTCTGCCCATCACAACGTGTTACGACTAGTGAAATTTATTAATCGTAACACACCCTGAACAAAGTTTTAGTTTTTCCAGTGAAATAATGTGTTTAATAAAACTGTAAAAACTGCCCTTTTGCCAAAAAGTCTTGACTTACATGTAGTCTAGTAGCTAGGTGGTATAATTTTCTGCCCATCACAACGTGTTACGACTAGTGAAATTTATTAATCGTAACACACCCTGAACAAAGTTTTAGTTTTTCCAGTGAAATAATGTGTTTAATAAAACTGTAAAAACTGCCCTTTTGCCAAAAAGTCTTGACTTACATGTAGTCTAGTAGCTAGGTGGTATAATTTTCTGCCCATCACAACGTGTTACGACTAGTGAAATTTATTAATCGTAACACACCCTGAACAAAGTTTTAGTTTTTCCAGTGAAATAATGTGTTTAATAAAACTGTAAAAACTGCCCTTTTGCCAAAAAGTCTTGACTTACATGTAGTCTAGTAGCTAGGTGGTATAATTTTCTGCCCATCACAACGTGTTACGACTAGTGAAATTTATTAATCGTAACACACCCTGAACAAAGTTTTAGTTTTTCCAGTGAAATAATGTGTTTAATAAAACTGTAAAAACTGCCCTTTTGCCAAAAAGTCTTGACTTACATGTAGTCTAGTAGCTAGGTGGTATAATTTTCTGCCCATCACAACGTGTTACGACTAGTGAAATTTATTAATCGTAACACACCCTGAACAAAGTTTTAGTTTTTCCAGTGAAATAATGTGTTTAATAAAACTGTAAAAACTGCCCTTTTGCCAAAAAGTCTTGACTTACATGTAGTCTAGTAGCTAGGTGGTATAATTTTCTGCCCATCACAACGTGTTACGACTAGTGAAATTTATTAATCGTAACACACCCTGAACAAAGTTTTAGTTTTTCCAGTGAAATAATGTGTTTAATAAAACTGTAAAAACTGCCCTTTTGCCAAAAAGTCTTGACTTACATGTAGTCTAGTAGCTAGGTGGTATAATTTTCTGCCCATCACAACGTGTTACGACTAGTGAAATTTATTAATCGTAACACACCCTGAACAAAGTTTTAGTTTTTCCAGTGAAATAATGTGTTTAATAAAACTGTAAAAACTGCCCTTTTGCCAAAAAGTCTTGACTTACATGTAGTCTAGTAGCTAGGTGGTATAATTTTCTGCCCATCACAACGTGTTACGACTAGTGAAATTTATTAATCGTAACACACCCTGAACAAAGTTTTAGTTTTTCCAGTGAAATAATGTGTTTAATAAAACTGTAAAAACTGCCCTTTTGCCAAAAAGTCTTGACTTACATGTAGTCTAGTAGCTAGGTGGTATAATTTTCTGCCCATCACAACGTGTTACGACTAGTGAAATTTATTAATCGTAACACACCCTGAACAAAGTTTTAGTTTTTCCAGTGAAATAATGTGTTTAATAAAACTGTAAAAACTGCCCTTTTGCCAAAAAGTCTTGACTTACATGTAGTCTAGTAGCTAGGTGGTATAATTTTCTGCCCATCACAACGTGTTACGACTAGTGAAATTTATTAATCGTAACACACCCTGAACAAAGTTTTAGTTTTTCCAGTGAAATAATGTGTTTAATAAAACTGTAAAAACTGCCCTTTTGCCAAAAAGTCTTGACTTACATGTAGTCTAGTAGCTAGGTGGTATAATTTTCTGCCCATCACAACGTGTTACGACTAGTGAAATTTATTAATCGTAACACACCCTGAACAAAGTTTTAGTTTTTCCAGTGAAATAATGTGTTTAATAAAACTGTAAAAACTGCCCTTTTGCCAAAAAGTCTTGACTTACATGTAGTCTAGTAGCTAGGTGGTATAATTTTCTGCCCATCACAACGTGTTACGACTAGTGAAATTTATTAATCGTAACACACCCTGAACAAAGTTTTAGTTTTTCCAGTGAAATAATGTGTTTAATAAAACTGTAAAAACTGCCCTTTTGCCAAAAAGTCTTGACTTACATGTAGTCTAGTAGCTAGGTGGTATAATTTTCTGCCCATCACAACGTGTTACGACTNACAACTTAATTCAAAAGTTTTTCAAAAAGTCCAAAAGTTCATTTTTTGTTAGTAATTTGGTTCATAAACAAGAATCACCAAAATCAGTCAAGAATTGCAAGCTGTGGAGTGTCATACGTACAGACTAACAGACTGGATGAGTGTCATTTCTCAAGGAAGTATTTTTGTTATAAAGGATTTAAAAATATATCGAAGAAAATCTCACCTTTCAAAAATCTAATTAAAAATTGGCTTCCTGCAAAATTACCCGATAGGTATACCACAAGACCG